GACCAAGTGTCCTGTGGTGTTGTGCGTGTTTTAAGTAAACTCAACGTGCAGTTGTGTCCCACAGGTGCATGAGAGGTTTCTGCCTCTCTTTTCCTCTCCTTATTCCACCTGAGTGATGCTCTACAGTTTATCAGTCCCCGTTCTTCCTTTTTGCACAAACACAACACATAAACATTTTGTAAAGAAGTGATACTTCCTTTATTTCATGCCTACAAATGATAATAAATGATTTTAAAATGTTTCAAAATGTGTTGTTTTTTCTCCTCACACCTGTGACGCAGCAGTTATAAAGGCACTCTGACATGGCTCTCCTGTGGCTGTGAGATATTTGCAAAAAAAAGATAGTGCTTTCTGCCCTTGTATTCAATCACATTCAAAGTCACTCATCTGTCTCTCTAGCTTTTTCTTCCCTTCTCCCCGGCCTGTTGCTGGCAGGGTGCAGAGAGACCCTCCCTCTTTTGTTTTGTCACTCCAACAGCACATAGCTGGCATAATGCAACAGACCTGCCTAGCTTATTTATAGACAAGTAATGGTAAACCGTCGCTTTTAACAGTATGTCAACAGGCAGAGAAATGTAATTAATTTTTTATTTTTTCATTGCTTTCTATTTTATTGTGCAAGTACACTTATTACGATACAATACATGCACAAAGGTGACTTTCAAACAGTTTGCATTATAAATGACATGTATTTTATTTATTTGCATACAAATATATCAAAATAAAAAGAAATAGTTCACTCCCAAATGAAAATTCTATTATTATTCATTCACCCTAATGTCATTCCAAGCTCCATCCTTCCATTCTCCAAACTGTTTGTCCTGTGTAGGGTCACGGAGATGCTGGAGCCCACCCAGCATTTTGGGCTAAAGGCAGGGAAACACCCTGGACAGATGGTCAGTCCATCACAGAGCACCCGGAAATAAGCCACACAGGCAGAACATTCAAACTCCACACAGAAAGGCCTCCTTACTTAGCTGGGACTCAAACCAGGCACCTTCTTGCTGTGAAGGTTAACACTGAGCCAACATGCCACCCGAAGATAAAGCACCTGGTATTCCCAGGCAGTCTCCCATCTACTAACCGAGCCAAACCCTGCTTAGCTTTTGAGATTAGATGAGATCCAGCATTCCAAACTCATGTTTTTTAAATACATTTTTATTGTTTTTTGCTATTTATTGTATTTTTACACATCGATAGTTCACTGTGACCACAGACAGGACAAAAAAACTATAAATGTTGTCCATGTGAGTCATGCACTATTTTCGCTGATAATCATCTTCACCTCCTCTGCAGCTCTCAAATCAGATATGGTGCATGCTAGACATCAATAAAATCAAAGCTCACTGGTTTCCGAGAGTCTCATAATCAACATTGTGACATCAAACCGTAATGGCATACGGTTTTGAAACATGACATCTTTTATGTTCAACATAAGAAAGAAATTCATACAGGTTTGGAACGACATGAGAGTAAGTAAATGATGACAAAATTTTCATTTTTGGGTGAAATATCCCTTTAATATCTTACATTTATTCAGTGAAGTATATTAGTGGAGTAATGAATAGTGAATGATGGTATAGGGGCGATTTGGGATACAGCCACTGTTTAGTGTTACTTAAACAGATCAGCCAAACACAACTACTGTACACAACAAAACCGCTCTCTAGCTTTACAGGCATCCAAGCTTCGAGGTGATCAGAATTTAGCATTTCAAACTGTGTCAGCAGTGGAACATCCATGTCAATCCCTCAGAGTGATGGATGAAATATGGAAAGAGGAGCGCAGTTCTTTCCTTCATCTGTGTCACATGGGTTGTAGAATGGATAGAGCGGCACTAGAACAGTCCCTATGTAGAATGAGAAGAGTGGCGTCATGGTGACAGCATTGTAGAAAGAAACCTCCTCGTTATCACAGTCCAGGAAGATGCCGATGCGGATGGGGAGGGTGTATGAGAGCACCTTTGTGGGCTTTGGGTGGGTGCAGGCTGTGATCGAGCCATTTCTGAGGGACAGTGTCCAAAGTCCGTTTAACGTTGAGGAAGAGTCCATCTCTCCACGGGGTATGTCTGCTCTGGCCACACCCACTCGCCAGGCGGTTTTGCCTTTCACCTCCACCTCCCAGTAATGACGGCCATGAGTGAAGGCCTCTGAACCCATCACGCAATAATAGAAGTGGAAGCGCTTCGGGTTCCTTTCATCTGGGTTCTCGTTAGGCAGTACCTTGTCTTCCTCGAAAGTCACTGAATTTTTCTCAGCAGAGAGGGTTAAGTGGGGATGTGCCGTTTCAGGGTCAAAAGTCAACTTGGATATGTCTGTGTATGCAAATAAGTTATTCAGAATTGATTTACATCAGATTAATCAGTAATCTATAGTACAATATTTTTAATGTAACAAACAATACACATTTACCTTACCTAAAAAACAAAACAAAAAAAAAACAATAGAAACCATCAAAGAAATTCTAATGGTTTCCACTACAACATTACAAACCATAAACTTTTAACGTCAGCTTTTTTGGGACATATTCCATTAGGATTTAATGGTTTTAACAAGCCACCAATAGAAGGTGACCAATAGCAGAAACCCACAGGGTCCATTACAGTTTCCATTAAAACCAATACAAGTCCCATTATAACCAGTGAAACAATTTCTGTGATGGTTTCTATATTGTTTTTTTAGCAGGGATTTACTGTACTAGGCTAAAGTAGTGGTGTTTTGTTTGTGAAATGAAATATTCTTGTACTCTTTCTGAAATTAACTTACATTTTTCATCTTTTAGAGTCTCCTGATGGACTGCTTTTCTTCTTTCAAAGACTGGCATAATAGCATGTTTTGCAAGCATTTTGAAGTAGCATTTCATACATTCATCCTACTGAATGCATACTTCCTTTACTTAATAAATCAGTGATTTGAGTTTGAATGACTTGAATGAACTCGTCCGAAATAAAATACTTCAGAATACTTATGGTAGGTCATGTGATAGTAACAACATGGCGGACATAGTACGTCCGAAATTCATTCATAATACCCAAATTCATACTAAATAGAGCATACTTTTTTAACAGTTGCGAAGAAAGTTTAAATTCAAATGTTGTACCTACTCAGTTTGCAATTTTGGTCGCACCGAATGTTTTAATTACTTCATTTAATGTCTCATAGCACAAATCTCACTTTTTGCGCCACCACCTGGTGGCAATATAACCTGCAGAAATAGTGACTTAATGAATCATTGATGAAAAGATTAAAAAGATTCCAGTACCTGGCATGAACCTAACCACCACCACTATAGTGAGAATTAAAATAGTTCAGATTTCTCTTTAGTATGTAAAAAAAAAAATATTATTTAAAATGTAGTCTTAGTACTTGGGTAGAGAGATGTTTTCATGTGTTTCCAGATCCGGTACTGAATGGGCCCCACAAACTGACCAGAGAGAATTTCGCTGTCTATTGGGGGAGGACGAATAAAATTCACCTCACATCTAAAGATAAACAATCATAACTGAGCAAGAACAGAGGTAAATGGTGAACAGAATGAGAAAAGTAACAACAATGATTAAGATTATACGAGAATTAGACCAAGTGAGAAAGAATAAAGAAAAAAGACACTTGCCTTTTCAGAAGTTCTTTGATTTCCTAAATGGATTAAAAAATATAGTGTTTAGAGCAAGACTGTTCAGATTCAAACACGTTTCGCTGCCTGATTGCAGCAGCCAGCTCTTCAGATTCCTCACTCTTTCAATCATGTGATTGTTTAAGCACTTGATCTGAACAGTGTCAAATGGCATCTAGCATGTTCTGTGGGTGTCTACTGAATGACTTATGAAACTAACCCTGTTAGTATTTTACAGTACATATGTGATGTGGTCAAAGTAGATGATTTCATAACAGATAAATGCACAATAATAAAATAAAATAAAAACTTTAAGTTTTAATTAGACAATCCACAGAGGATAAGGAACTATTTCTCTCCCAGTGCAGGTTACTATTCCATAAAGATCAAGATTTTACTGCTTAGTCTGTTAGTTTATACAACTTAAAATGGAAATCCACCTTCAAAAGTTTGGGGCTGTCATCTTCCCGCAGTTTGCAGTTCAGTGTCTCAATGGCTTTCTCTAGATCTCTACTCTGCGTGCCAATCTTTTTCTCTCTCTCTTTTAAGATCTTCACTCGTCTGTCCCTTTCCCTCCTTAGCCGTTCCAGATCCGTCTCTTCCTCCTCATCCAGGAAACGATGGAGGTTTTGGAACTCTGCTCGGATTTCACGCTCTATCTCTTCAAATCTGTTCTGTGAAAGAGCGGAAAAAGGAGACATTAATGACTTAATGGGAAACATGAAGGAAGAGAGACTAATAACATAAAAGACAATTAACTCTGGAAAAAATGAGCAGGCTGAGATTAGCTTACTAATGAAGTTATTACTCAAATTTAATACAAGAAATTGTTCATTAGGAGTTTTAGATACTGTATGTCTGTATGTTTTGTGGAACCTACTGTATGCCAAATGCCAAATTAGAGGATGATATGCATCAAGAGTTGTTTCAATATCAATGTCAGCCGTTTCTGAACAGGCCATATAAAAAGCTGTAATACTGGGGGTCTGAAGAAAAGTTTAGAATTTCCAAAAAAAAACAAAACATTCTATACATTTTTGGAAGGGGTGATCACCTATCATATTTTTGTTTTGTGAGTTATTTTTCCATATCAGCCAGTAAGTTATGTTGTGAAGAAAAGACCAAAGTCACAGAAGAGGAGCAGCGCCAGATGTCCAATATCAAGTCACAAAGATAGTCCGGTGCAGAAAAGACCATAAATACTTTTTCCACATATAAATATTACCAAGGTAAATCAGGCAGTACCTCGACCTCCAGTGCGTCCACAAAGGCCTCTTTTTCAGCCTCATAACATTCATCAATTTCATGTTTGATCTTTTTAATTGCTTGAATAAGCTTCTCCTGAAACACAAACAGGCACAGTTTGTAGTGTAACAGTCTCACTTAATAAAAACACTAATTCGATTATGAACAGTTTGCATAGTCCTAAACAACAGACTTTCTTTTTATTCTTTAGAAAGAGTCCAAACACCACAAACTCTCGTCCCACTTGGAACCTTCTAGAAATAAAAACAGTTCACACTGTGTATTTCACCTTGCCATGACATACGAAGGTGACATTTTATTCTTACCTTTTGGGCACCGAGGAGAGAGTTGTTAAAGTTGTTGTTTGTGTCCTTCATGTGATTTGTGTGCATTCCAATTTATCTTGTCAGAACAAAGCAGACAGAACTCTGGTATCTCACACGTGAGAGAGAGAGGGGTTAAATCAAGCTGACTGATAGGTGTGTGTAAACATGCTCACAGACAGAGAGAGAGAGAGAGAGAGAGAGAGAGAGAGAGAGAGAGGAGGGAAGGACAAAGGCAATATGAGGGCAATATATCAAAGGAGGGCGACAGACTGATTGGTTCAGAGGCTGGAGGTGACCAACACATTCGACTGATCTAAACCAGTTACATTAAAAATAAATACAATGTAATATCAGTCATGGCTTTGACTTTACATATTAGGATGTCAACACAGGAGAAGAAAAGCAAAGGGAGGTATTGTGGGGTCCACAGCTGTCTCACTGCACCACACGAGCGATTTATGGAAGTGAGGGAAGAGATATTCTATTTCTGTCTGCAACAAGAGCTAACGTCAGAGAACAGAGGCAGACTATTTACAGGCAGCAAGACAGATAGTAGGGCTGGTGAGGGGCTTATATTTCACTCTGGAAGGGGTCTGACACAAGGATTTTGTCTGTTTGTGTGTGTATATGCACAAATGATATATAACAGCAGAGAAAGAGAGACTATGTGCCTGTGTTGTATATGCAAACAGAGGAAGATTATGTTTCATAAAGAGCAGTCTGTCAGGCAAAGATTTTTCGAATATTTCTGTGGAATAGTCGAGGGCAGAGTTGTATGACAAGAAAAAATTCTTTGTGGAATATGTCACCTCTCTCTCTTTCTCTCTCTCTCTATGAAAACTGCTCAGCCAAGGCAATGTATTATTCATGGGCCTGTCCTGAGTGTCTGACTGCTGAGATGCAGACTCAGTAAAAGGGAGAGTGCAATCATTTTTAAAGCACAGTCACATACAGCACATATCATGCACGTTTAAGACACTTCAAAATGGTCGAATCACACAAGCTATTTTAGAACTTAATGATACTGGGTAGTGTCTCTGTTTCTCTCTTTTTATTCTTTGAGACCTAGGGGCCCAATATGTTCCCCATGGTAATTCTACTGCAATGATGACAAAGCTGTTTGTTTTAAAACATTTTTACTGGGCTAAAAGAAAGTAGGAGTGTCAGTAATTTATCAGTATTTATCAATATTTATAATGTCATATTTTTTTTAAACAAGTAATAAATTATGTGTTCTCCAATAAAATCAACAGTATTGGGGGTACAAGTAAAAAAAATGAAATGTGATGTGAAGGTTATTGAGGCCCCCTAGTGGACACCGACCCCCTGATTTAGCTATGGGGCCTGCAGCGAAACAATTACATTTTAGTTTAGTTTTAAATTCATTACGTGTATATAATTCATTTTAATGCATTTATATTGGTAATGTGAATTGAACTTAATTTTATATTTTGTTGTTATTTTTATTGCCTACTGTTGGGATGTGCTTTAACGATGGATGATAAAAAAAAAAAAAAACTTAACAACTCAAGGATACTCATATGGGGAACTTTGAAATCAGCATTTGTTTAGAAATACATTTCTATTTGAAGATTTACTAATGACTCCAAAATCCATTTCCTGTGCGCGTATTACGTTGAAAGCGGAAGTAAACAAAGAGCACATCGCGGTTCTGTACCTGACATGCGTGAGATTATGTGTTTATTGCCATTGTTAAATGTCCTGTAGTTTTGTTAGACATAGTATAGATTATTACATTGTCATTATCTAATTTGTGGATTCTAACTTGTTTGCTCGACAAATACATAATTTGGTAATTCTTTAGCTTGCTGAATATGTAGCTTTAGCATGGCTAGCAGAGCAGCAGTACTTTCTTAATCTGTTTGACCGTCTTAGATCTTTCTGAACGAACATAGACATTAACATTTGGAGGACAACAGTACAGTTTCGAATCTCGAACCCATATGAACTAGGAAAATCATTTGAAAAAGACGGTAAATATTCGTTTAAGTATCAGAAATGAACGGGCAAGCTGAAGTAGAGGTGGATTACAAGAGAAAATACAAAAATCTCAAACGCAAATTAAAGTTTCTGGTATATGTGAGTATTTATTTTTCAATGTTAATTTTTTATTTATCATTTCAGACTGTTGTTAACCCTCTGGCTTCATTTTTCTGTCCAGGAGCAAGAGTGTTTTCAGGAGGAGCTGAGAAGAGCTCAGAGGAAACTATTAAAAGTTTCTAGAGACAAAAGGTAGAACCTGTAGTCTTGTTATCAAAGTTATCAAATGCTTTCCTCCTGCTTGACCCACATGCACATAATTAAACACTTTTGTTTGTGTCAGTTTTCTGTTGGACAGACTTTTGCAGTATGAAAGGGTGGATGAAGAGTCTTCCGGTAGGTCTCTAATGAACATGCTTGTCTGCAAACCTCTAAGAATCTTCAAGGGAATTTGTGTGCTAAGAGTGTTTTTGTTTTCAGACTCTGATGCAACAGTTTCCTCAGACAGTGATGGAGAAGGAGCCAGAGAGAGAGATAGGGAAGCAGGGAAGAAGTGAGTTTGCCACAAATAGATTTTTTGTGGATTTGACAGATTTTCTTGAGCACAAAATTAGCATATTAGAATGATTTCTGGATCATGTGACACTGAAGACTGGAGTAATTATGCTGAAAATTCAGCGTTGCCATCTCAGGAATACATTGCATTTTAAAATACATTTAAATTAGTGCTGTCAAATGATTAATCGCGATTAATCACATCCAAAATAAAAGTTTTTGTTTACATAATATATGTGTGTGTACGGTGTATATTTATTATAGATATATAAATACACAAATATGCATGCATATATTTAAGAAGAATATGTTATGTTTATATATTAAATATATTTATATATAATATAAATTATATAAATATATGCTTGTAAATACGTAAATATTTTCAAAATATATACATGCATATGTGTGTATTTATATACATAATAAATATACACAAATATACAGCACACAGATATATTATGTAAACAAAAACTTTTATTTTGGATGCGATTAATCGTTTGACAGCACTTATTTAAATGGAAAACATTTATTTGAAATTGTAATAATATTTTATAATGCTGCTGTATTTACTGTGTTTTTGATCAAATAAATGCAGCCTGGGTGAGCATAAGAGATGTCTTTATTTTAAAAAACATTAATGATAAATTTTACCGACCTAGTATAGAGACTTTTAATGGGTTGTTGAATAAACATTTTAATGCATGTGTGCCTTTTGAATTTTGCCATAGTCAGAATTACATAAGTACTCTGCCTATTTACCTTTCAATCATCCATTGAGCTTAAAAATTTAAGATTTGCCAGTTATATGCTGCTTAAAAGAAATGAGTCCATCTGGTTGGAAAAGATTTGTAAAAGCAAAATATTGTATATCCACAAGACTTCATAGAACATAGTAACTCATAGGCAGTGACAGATAATGCAATTGAAAAGCTTTGAAGTCTCCGATAGCCTCGTGGGCAGCGCGTCGACATGTAGCGCCATTGCGCTTCGGGCGTCCCGTGTTCGAGTCCCGGCTCGTGGACCTTTCCCGATCCCATTCCCCCTCTCTCCCACTTTGCTTCCTGTCTCACTACTATCCTATCAATAAAAGGCAAAAACGCCAAAAAATAAATCTTAAAAAAAAAAAAAAGAAAGGCTTTGAATAAATTGAATGCAAAATGTTAATTCACTTCAGAAAAAAAAGACATACTCAACTAAAATAACAAATTTGTTTGAAATGTTGCTTGTGGCTAAATTAAATTACATTTGAGACAGATGTGGCCACTTTTATGTTTTGCTTTTTTCCAAGTTTTGTCAAGATAAAGTGCTTTGTTTTTTAATTTGTATAGCTCTGTGTCTTCAATAAATCTATTGATTTGTTTTTAGAAGGAGGAGTCCTGGGGTTCCTCCCGTCCTGTCGTCCTCATCTCCTCATCTCTCACTCCTGTCCCGCTCTGGTGCGGTTCCTCTCCAGTCATCTGCTCCGGCACAGTATCTCAACACTGTGAGTACATCACACCTCCATGTGCGCTCCATACGTCTCATACTGCACTCATGTTTTTCAGTTACTCACATTGTTTTTGTCACCTGTTAATTTGTCATTTTATTAATTTTCTCTCTTTTTGTCTTTGTATCACCTCACCTGGTTTATATGGACTTCACACACATCACTCTGGGTGTGTGTGTGTGTGGGAATGACTGTTACTCTTTGGTGGCCTTGTGTGTGTGTGTGTGTGATTCTGGGTGAGTAGTTACCCTTCCCTCCTGAGTATTTGGCTCCCTCTGCTGAGCGAGTGAAGAAAGAGAGAAAAACAAAACTGGCCAAACACAGGAAAGACGGTTCAGGGAAGGTGAGAGAGGGACAGAGAGGTTGACGCTGGAAACACAATGGCCTAGATTCATGTGGCCTTTATTGCTACACTGTTTGTCATGTCTTGTAGTAATCTTACCGTTACAGTAACACACTTAACATACATTTTAGTTACATGTGTTTCTGAAATGTAGTCTAACAGACATTTCTCTGCTTGTCCCTCTTATTCAGGTGGTTGGCCCACTCACGTCCAGTTACCCTGCAGCCAGTGGTGCATCTGGGGGTGCGAGTGGGCCGTTCAGCTGGGTACCACAGCAGATGCTGAGTGAGGATGCAGCCGAGGAGGAGGGAGAGAGTGAAGGAGAGAGTGACCGAGGAGAGGAGGAGAGAGGAGAGGGTGATGAGGCAGAGCTGGTTATTGACATACCCAATGAGTGAAGGTAATAGACAAATACAGGCCTCTGTGAGCATTTAACAGGAGCTTTCATTTAATTCAAAATACACACAAGATGCTTTTCCAGGGCTCAACAATAAAAGTGGCAAGATAATGTTATCTAGCTGGCTAACATACACTACTATTCAAAAGTTTTAGAAAAAAAAGTCTCTTGCTCACACCAAGGCTGCATTTAAAATGTAAAACAGAAGTATTGTTAAATACTAAAATAACTCTTTTATTTTAATATTTTATAAAATGTAATTTATTTCTGTGATGCCAAAGCTGAATTTTCAGCAGCCATTACTCCGATCTTAAGTGTCACATGATCCTTCAAAAATCCTTCTAATATGCTGATTTGGTGCTCAAGAAACATTTTTTTTTACTGTTGCCAATGTTGAAAACAATTGTGCTGGTTGATATTTTTGTAGAAACTATGATAGAATTTAATAGACAAGTTCAAAAGAAAATTTATTTGAAATATAAATCTTTTGTAACAGTGTAAAATACATCCTTGCTCAATAAATGTATTATTATTATTATTTTTTTTAAATAAAGCAATCTTACCCTAAACTTTTGAACAGTAGTGTGTTGCTTTGTAAAATGGCAAAAATGACTTAAAAGTTTTGGTAAGAATGCCATGAAAACTACAGATGCTTTGCTTTATTCCTTTCTAGCAAAAGTGTGTTTATGCATTTATGGAGTTATAATAATAGTTTCCTTTTGAAAAGAAAAGAAAAAATAGCTGAAAAAATGTAAAAGAAAACTTACCATTTAATAAAGATACTATTTTCTTTCTAGCAAATATAAAAATACATTGCTAAGTATAATAATTGATCATTTTATTTGTGGTGGGGCTGGTGAAAGTGTTGGCAGGACAACCAGAAATATTTGTCATTGTTGAGCCCTGTTTTGTGAACCTGTTCTGCACACCTTACATAAACATATTATTAGATCATTCAGACTGTTCCAGATAGGTAGGTACTCCATTTATCCTGTGTGGGAAATTGGAGATTGACCAAGTAAAAAGGATTTTGTGATTCGTCATTAAGAAAATCCGATCTGCGTTATATTGGCATTTGGGTGTATAACAGATTGGGTTACAAAAAAATCTCCTGACTCATCGTAGATACTGGATAGGCTTATTCTTTAAAGACTGCTGAGCTGCAATGTATTTACCTGTAAGTGTGCCATAAATGTATAGTTGCGCGACAGCATTTAGACAATAAGAACGGGGGGAAGAGAGTGAGTGAGCAGAACAAAGAGAGAAAAACACCCTGAGATTGAGAGAGCCACACCCATTTTACCCAGGAGCACATCGACACTAGTCCAGGCAAGTTGCTGTGGGATTATAAAACACACACACACACACCAGCTGAACATGAACTAGACACGACAATACCTCTAACAGTTTATTACCAGGATTATTTGTCTATAATAAAAGATATAAAATTAATGCAATTAAAATCTCTTTCTTTCTTTACACAGGTGCCGAAGGAAACTGCAAGCAAAACATTTTTCAAAATCATTCTTGTTTAATGCATTTTAATGTCCTCTGTTTTTTTTTATTATTAAATATTTAAAATGTTCTCTTGTGTTTGAGTCAATACACCAGCACCTGTTTTCATGCACCACCTCTGATTTGTGGAATTCCAAGTTTATGACTGGACATTTTTCATGTAGATGATGCCAAAATGTTCTTTTGGCCATAAAAATGACTTTAGCTGCAAAAATGGCATGCTTTAGTGTTGATGCTGGGGAATGCTGACACACAGGTAGTCATTAAGGCGTGTGAGAGGTGTGTGTACTGGTTTGTGTGCATTATAGCAATACTAAGACGAGGTGTAGTCAGAAAGTGTGATTTAGAAAGGGAGGGATGGATGAAAGAGTGAGAGAGTGAAAGGGGGAGGGATGAAGAAGGTGAGATTGTGCCCAGGCTCATTCTGCATAGCTGAAGAGAGAGAGAGAGAGAGAGAGAGAGAGAGAGAGAGAGAGAACATACTGTAGTGTGTGTGTGAGAGAGAGAGAGAGAGAGAGAGAGAGAGAGAGAGAGAGAGAGTAGCAGGAGCTTGTTTTGTGTAGCTGCTAGTTCAGCACTGTTAGCTGCAGTCTCTGCTTCGTTGTACTGAGGGTTCGGCCATGCTGTTTGCTCTGCCCAGACTCGCTGTGTTCATCTCTGCAGTGCTGTTTAACGGTGGTGTCCGGGCAAGTACACACACGAATCTTGATCCAGGGTTCCTCCAGTGTCGAGAGTGTTTTTTCAGAGGCACACCTCCACACTCACTGTCTGAGCTGGGTTTGGAGCAGAGGTGTCACAGACATCTGACCGGACGGCCTTTTGCATCGCTCTATAATGCCAACTGCCAAGCCACCGTCTATACAGCCCTTCACCTTGGCTTGAATAATGGATGGGGCAGAGGAGAGCAGAGCACGGTGAGACACTGTTTTTCTCTCCCTTAGTCACTGTCTTGGAGGAGCTTGTATAGAGTTCAGAGGAAGATTTGAGCATATATAGATTTGCTAAAAATGCATTGTTGTGATGAATTGTTGGTTGTTACTATCTTTCGGGTAGAGCTATAGTACTAAATGAGGTTAAGTACAGGTTATAGATGTCTAAATTTTTGACCACAGTCTTGCTAAACGACATTCATTACAGTTTCTGCTGTCATGCAAATGTACAAGGCTGTCAAGTCAAGCGGAAGAGAAAAATCGTACCATTTCATGGATCATTTTTAGTAGGATAAACAACATGATTCTTATTTTTGTCATTTCTATTAGTTTATTCAAAAATGAAAAAATGCAGTTCTCAAACTACCACTGATTCAGATGCACCTATGGTAAGCATGTTTTTTAATTAGTATACATTAAAAGTACATATTATACATTAAAAGTTAGTGTTTTTGAGAACATAATTATTCATTTGTTTGGTTTTCTTTTTTAATATACAGATTAAAAACATGCTCATCATACAAGTGTTGTATTCCACTCCTTGAATGAATTGCATTTTTATGTTTTATATACATATTTACATGTAATAAAACAATTTTTTAAAGATTTTTAACAAAATTGCTTCATTTCTTATGTCTGCAAAATCAGTCATGTGCAACCAACATGCAGAAAACAAACAGGAAATGACATCATAGAGAGTATCCCTGGAGACCCTGTGTGTCAAAGCCAAAAAGTCTCCTAAAATATCAGATAATTGGACCTTTTTATGACAAGACAAGGTTAATTGTAAAATGTCATGTGGTGCAGCTCCCCAGAATCTAGCATCAATATATAGAGTACATTTTTAAGAACCGTTTTAGGATTTTTAATCATCAATTTCTCATGTTAATCCAAAACTACATCTTTTTATCTGCGGAACAAAAAAAAGATATTTTAATTAAATAAAGTCTCAGTTTTTTTCCCATATAGTGAAGATCAGTGGGGTCCAATGTTGTTTGGACCCCAACATTCTTTAAAATGTATTATTTTACATTCTGCAGAAAAAGTCATGTAGGTTTGAAATTACATGAAGGTGGGTACTGTAAGTGATGCCAGAATTTTCATTTTTGGGTGAACAATCCTTGTGCATTTTTGTCCATTTGTATCTTGGATAAATGCATTTTAATGTATACATTTGCAATTAAACAAGTAATTAAGTGTACCTGTCTTTTTTTTATCCCATCAGCAGGATGCCAAAGAAGAGATCAATGACGATTCCCCTGTGGCTATCCCAGCTCTTTACAGAGGAACCACTAATGAGACCCCATCACCCCATCACAGCTACCCTCTCTTTAAATGGGATGCTTTGACAGCAGAGTTTATATGGAGCTCCATCATACCAAGGTGTTCAAAGACAAGTGGAGAAATGTATGTGCAGATTGGTTTAGGTGGTTTAAATGAGTGCAGGGGAGAACTGTTGTGGTCAGCAGTGTGTTGTGCTGCATCAGATGGAGAGGGTAGTTTCAGTGTTGGGCTAGTGAAGGAGGGGGATGTGAAGGTGCTCAGCATTAAGGCTTTGGAGGAGCTGATAGGAGTTACAGGCCTGTTTTCAGGAGGTTGTGGTGAAGTAGGACATCAGAGCGAAGAGGAACTTGCATCGCTCTTGAAAAAGCAACTGAATGGCATCGAAACACCCAACTCTGATGTGCAAAGTGAAGAGCACATTGGCGAACACAACTCTCAGGAAGCAGAAACATCAGAATCAAGAACGGAGAAAGTGACTTCGGAGCATGTTAATGGTGAAGCCCAAAGCTACACATCTTTGAGCTCAGACATAGAGATTCAAGAGAGCACCAATGAGACAGAGAGCTCCGAGTCTGTCCTCCTCAAAGTTTTGTCTTCCACCATCTATCTCCTTTATGCCCCTTTCTCTCCGATCGTAAACAGAGTCACTAACCTTCCCTTCCAGCTAACCTACATTCTTCAGGAAGATCTGGCTGTTCTGGCCTCGGTGCCTGGTGACAGCTACACTTTGGTCAACAACTTGGTCTCAGGGGTGTATTCTGGCATTTCATGCATCTTGAACACCTTGTACCAGACAGGAGAAACAAGCGTGTGCACGACTTACGCCTGCCTCAGTCCATTAGCCGAAAGTCTGTTTGTGGCTTTCCAGGAAGGATTCATAGGGACAGGCACTCTGGCGTCGGATGCCTTGGGAATCACGACGGGAACAGTGGGGAATGGTTTTAGGATCATCAGGATGATTCTCTGGTCAGTCTTGGATCAGATGGTAGATTACCTATGTGTCGTATCCTCAGAAATGGGCCACCAGGTGTCAACAGTGGGAAGTGGGGTTGGCAAACTTACCTGGAGAAGTGGAAAGGGGGTGGGCCACATGCTTAACATTGTAGCATCCATCATAGGCAGAGTAGTGGACAATACACTATCGAATGTCCAGGAAGCTTTTGGAGGGAGCTCAGGGGAATCATCTGAATTGCAAACACCTGACTTGCTGAAGTCTGAAGTGGTCGGTGAATAGACTTAAATGCGTGTATATGCCTGTGTTAGATACCTTATTTGCATATTACACCACAAATAGAGTGCATTAGTGCCTGTCCACTTTTTCAGCGGCCTTGGTTCCGGAAGTATTTTTCCTATTTATTTTTCCCATAGAGAAGTCTTTGTTAAGGAGTTAACAAATCAAGCCAACTATCTACTACTGTAGGTGAATCATATTACAAACTTTGATTTAAAGAATCACATGATTTGAAAAAGTGCAGGACTGTGCACTTAACATATATTTTATGTGATATATTTCCAAATTATGTCATTCGCAGTGTTTCATGGAGGTGGACAGCTGTTAAAGAGTTGGTGCAATGTGTTGTTTCAGTTCTCCAAATGATGGAGATTTTTCTGCAGAATCATAATGTAGTTTGGAATTGATGTTGGAATCGAGCATTTAAAAATTAAGTAGAAATAATGCAGACTGATGGCTTCAGCAAAAGCATATACAATCGAGTACCAATCTTGTAGCTCACAGTAGGTCTGTCTTTAATGATTTATAAGTTACTGTTAAAAATCAATTCCCCTATGGAGAAACCGAATGGGATTTTTACTTCCGGATCCTGACAGTTGCACTCTATAAGTGTCAGGCTGCACACTGAATATTAACCATATGGCATGTGGTTATGAATCATGAAACCTCTGTTTTACATTCTGCCTTAAAATACCTACATAAACCTACTAATTTTTTGAAAAAAGGAAGGTGCCGGGTGATTTGTAACTCTTTCAAGGTGCTGAGACATGTTTGTTAAGTGTCAGAAAGATGATGTAATTGTTGTGAAATGTTGGTCATTTCATCTGTCATATAAAGACCTTGCTGTGTCATGGTTTATATGCTGCAATAAAACCTCTTCTCTGTGAGTCATGCTCTCTGTCATTTATAGTCTAATGTATAACACAAGACCTACTTCAAGGTAATCAATGTAAATCTACTGAAAAAGACCATAAACAGCAAAGAAAGTTGAGGAAAATATTTTTTATGTACCCTCACTTATTATTAGAACAGCACATGGCTGTACATAATCTTTTATTAAGACGAGTCATTTACGTGAATAAAATATGATTGTAAAGCAAAACCTTTATTAAGTGATATAAAACAAAAATGTACATATACAGGTTCATAATATTTAGCCATATTTTTCTTGTGAGGAGTTTTCATAGATCTCCAAATATGATCATCCTTGTGTAAGAGACTCCCATCCTAAAATTTAAAAGGTACCTATAGGCCTAAAAATTATTTTATAAAGACCCAATGGTGCAAAATTTATATTATAACTGCCTAAAATATTACTTGGAAAATAGCCTAAAAGCCTATTTAATAGTTCCGTCACATTTATATATAAAAAAAAAGTAGCCTATACTGTATTAGATGTATTTATTTATTTGCTTAGGCCTACTTGATGAATTATCTACTCATTTATTTTAACCTATTTTTTTTATTTTTATTTGATTATTTACTCATTTATTTATTTTAATCTTATTTTTATTATTTATATATTTTTACTTTTTTTACACTGTTTTTCTTTAAACTTTTCTACGGACCCCCTCGCACTCCTTTGCGGTCCCTAGTTTGAAACCCCTTGATTTAAAAAGATAAGATCGTTACAAAAAGGCTTAAGAGATGAAATTTGTAAATATTAAATTTGCTCTTCAAAATCATAAAGTTTTAAAAGGTTGTCAATACTTTTATCTCTACATTCAAAATAACAAATAATGTTTTTTACTGGCAACAGTATATTTAAGAGAGTTTTGCAAAATATTACTTTATTTGCCGAAGAAAAAAAAAATTGGAATGAAAAAAAAAATTGAATTATTAATTGACATGGCTCTCATATCTCTCTGTCAGATGGACACTCTATACATCTCTTCCCACCCTGATGACTTCAGGAGTTTGTTGCCCTTGATCGCTGCTGAATTCTGTCCATCTCCTCCACGAATCGTACACGAGGACCCTCCTGCTGAGGTGGCCAGATCTCGTCCTGCGCTGGTCTTAGCT